CTGCGTACAGCTGAGCATGTGGTACTTCCTGTTTATCACTGTTGCATTCATGAGGTCGGCTGCAGGGCTTTAACATCTTTTACATTTTTCCAAACTCAGTTAGGTTTTGGAAATGGAATAAACTGTGTTACACCCTTTAAAGCAGGACTATTCAAGAGGAGGCCACAGAGTTTCTAAAAACCAGCAGCTCAGTGGCCTGACATCCAGCAATTAAAGTCATTATGTAAATAAACCAAGTTTTACAATGATCTGTTGTTGCATTGAATCATAAATGCAATAAACAGAACCCAAACCCAGAACCATCCCCCACCTTCAAAAAACAAACAAACAAAAACCTTTATTTTTCAGGAGTGCTGAGTTAAAATTTAGTGGTGCTTGAGCACCCTCAAAAAGAGGCTAAATTCGCCACTGTAATCCAATATTACAAATTGCTCAAGGCATGTGTTAGGGTTGACTTTCAGCTACTATCACACTATAAGCTCAATTTTTTTTTTTCAAAATTAGAGTTTTAACTATTTTTTGTGTTACTTAATGTCAGTGGTTCTTGAATTTGACCCAGCTGAAGATGTGAATATTTTTGTAAGTTTTCAGTTATGTCCATTCAGTGGTTCCTGAGATAATTCACTAACATATTAACATGGTTGACTTCAACACTTAATGCTCAAGTTTTTTATTTTATTTTTATTGTGAGCATTGACTAAAACTTGAATTATGTAATGTGACTGATTAGACTACACAGTCGTCGAAAAACGCTGGCATTTTGGGTCTTAAGGTAAGTTGGCTGTGGCAGCCATCTTGAATCAGGTAAATGTATAAATGTTAATCAGTTGATGATCTCCCAATGATTACTTTCTGACAGTTCCATTCGAGACTTCATTGCAAGTCAGTGACATCTAGAGTTGGAAAAGATGGACTGCATCAAAAACAGAAAAGTACATATTTTCTTTAACGGCACAAAATAAATTTAAATTCAAATCTTTTAAAATTCACATAAATAAAAACTAGGACTGTTGGCAATAGGCCTACTAACCTAAAGGATGAATCACATACCCAACTTTATATAAAATATAGAGTATGACAATTAAAATGTTTGTCTCCAGCGTTCATGTTTAATTTAAAAAGCTAAATAGTTTATACAAAAGCAAAACAATTAAAACAAATACAATTATTGAACAAAAATTATTTACAAATCTGAATCAAGAGGAACATTTATCAAACTGAATGCATAATGTCTGAAAAGGACATGTTTAAAAAGCTCTTTTTGTCTTTAAAACATCCCTTCATTTCATGACCTTTGACTTCTGTACGGCTTCTTTTTTCCTTAAACAGATGCATGTTTGAAGAAACCTTTTTTTTAACATGAGACAAAATATGTTAAAGTTTCTGTAAATAATAATAATAATAATAATAATAATAATAATAATAATAATAATAATAAAGAAAATTCTAATTAAAGGCAGCACGGTGGCGCAACTGGTAGAGCTGCTGCCTCTCAGCAAGCAGGTCCTTGGTTCAAACCCCAGTCCAGGGGCCTTTCTGGGTGGAGTTTGCATGTTCTCTCCGTGCATGCGTGGGTTTTCTCCGGGTACTCCGGTTTCCTCCCACAGACCAAAAACATGCATGTTAGGCTGATTGGTAACTCTAAATTGTCCCTAGGTGTGAGTGAGAAAGTGAATGGTTGTTTGTCTCATTTGTCTCTATGTGGCCCTGTGATGGACTTGCGACCCATCCAGGGTGTACCCCGCCCCTTGCACAGTGATTGCTGGACATGGGCACCAGCGACCCCCGTGACTCAAAATGGAAGAAGCGGGTAAAGATAATGGATGGATGGATGGATGGATGGATTCTAATTAAAAAAGTACTAATGCTGCCACGGTTTTCTAATTTTGTAGTTTATTGTTAAACCTAAAACTCTGCCACAGTGAAAACAGCTTATTCTGCTTTCTTTTAAGAACTGTGTCCAACTAATTAGTCCCAGTGAGAACTGAATGAATAAATGGAACTGCAGCACTGGTGCACTGACACCGATGCAATCTACAGAGTAACATCCCAGTCTTAATATAAAAAAGACAAAAAGAAAACTGTTTTCAGCAAAATTTTATTTTTAGTGCATGAACAGAATTCTATGTCAACCCTTTTTAATAATCCTTTTTAAATATTTTCTCTCTTTTTTTTTACATAAAAAAATAATAGAGCAATATAATATACCTCTATTTTTTTTCTCCCCAAAAGAGCACTCGGCTAAGTATTTATAAAGGTGCTGTACAATGTACAAACATTTACATCTAATGTTTAGACAGAATGTAGAAGATACCACGAGGAGTTTTTGTTTTCTAATGAAGCTATGCAAGGCCACAGTATGATGCAAAGATGAGATATAAAATAGTTAAAGCAAAGGCATACAGAGGTAAAACAGAGGAGGGGAGATGAAGTTAACGAACTGTAAAATAATATCCTATTTAGAGCCAGAGTGAACAGCCTGTAACTGGTACTCAGAGTTAGAAATACTTAATCGCCTCAAACTATTGCACAAAAACTGAGCTCTGATTGGTTTAGAACCCCAGACTTGTAAACTTAAAACAACTTTTTACAATCACAAACTTTCAAACGTTTGGCTGTCATTAATAACTTCAGCACATATTTGCTACAGATACTGTGTTCCCTGAGCTCATCTTTAACTGTATTAGACAGCATGTTCAGTGTAATTCAATTCCTCCCTTTTAATTTCCAATTTAGCTCTTGATGACGTAACACTTTGGGAACATTTAGTCGTACAGTATAGCTATCTGCTCAACATCCCAGTAATATGTAAAGTGTTTGTTTATCTTAAAGGGACAGTCCAGTCATCTTCCAAGTGATGTTTCGTCTAATAGCTACAAATACTTAGTACATTATTAGTCAGTATAGAGGAGGCAAAAGTCTTCAATTTGGGTGGGCCAGTTTATAATTTTACAGGTTTATTAAACACATTTTTGGTGAACATTGTTACTGTTTGAGTGTTTGCAGAGCATCATGCAGCAGGTGCTCAGGCTGCTGAAGGCATCCATCCACCTGATCAGCTCCTCTTATCAAAAGTTTACTCAACTCCCACACCTATATAATGTTTTGACAAAGAGTTGTTTTACAAACCTAAAAAATATTATTGATAAAAAAATGAACATTACACTCATTGGGCTAAATATTGATTAGCCTGAGGTTAGAGAAGGCTGTTGGTTCAACTCCCTGAACCAACAACATCAAAATATGGGTGAGAAAAGTGAAACACCTACACTTGCCCCCACCCTGGGCCCTTGAGCAAGGCCCCTAACCCCCACCATCTGCTCCCCTAGACACTCTAGATGGCAGCTCAGCTCCGCACAGAGGGTTCGGTGCTCTGTGGCTGTGTCAGAAAGGGCATCCGGCATAAAAACAATTGCCAAGTCTTCGTTCGAGTTAGTTCACTGGCAACCCCGATGAAGAAGAGAGCAGATGAAAGAAGGAAAAAATGGTTTTTTCACCATTCTTCTTGCCCTGATAAAGTTCATGCTCAATAATCCAGGTAAAAAAAAATCCAACAAAGTTCAATGAGGTCATCTGGATGGTTTCTTTTTTTTATTTTTATTGAGATGTTCCATCCTTCATCCAAAGGACTTCATCAGTCTGAAGAGCCACAACAAACTCAGCCCCACAAGCAGCACACTCGCAAAGTGGGATTATTGAGCATGAATGTTGATGTTTTGAACCACTTTGGCTATGGCTGTCTCAGAGGATTCGACGGGGGAGAGGGTGGGCAGAAACCATCTTATCACCATCAAACTAGTTGGTCCACTATATGTGAGTGTGCTGCTTGTGGGATTGACTTTGTTGTGGCTCCTCGGATTGATGAAGTCCTTTGGATGAATGATGAAATGTCTCAACAAAAAAAAAAAACTGTCCAGATGACCTGGCTGAACTTTGTTGGACACTAACTTAGATAACTATTGGACAGAACATCACTTCAAAGATAACTGGACTACTCCTATAATACCAGCCTTCCATCCGTAACAGCACTGAGAATATTTCAGCAGAACTCCACACATCTCTGGCTTCTATCATCCTTCATGCTAACTTTTAGCGCACAATCACACAGCAGGATGGACAGAAACATACAGTGGAACTTAAACACTCGTGTTTTTTTTTTCTCTTTTCATTTTGCAGTTTAGCTTTTAACCTTGTAGAAAATATGAATTATACTTTTGTAAGTACATTGTAAATAGCAATGAATTAAGTAAACTTCACAAATTAAATACAACTGGTTCTATTATGCTACAAGGGCTGATGCAGTGCAATGGAATTCAGTAGTTATCATCTGGAAATTATGACACATTCAAATATATATCTATATATTTCTATATATCATATTTCACAACGAGACATATTTTGAGTGATTGCGAACATTTGGTACAGCAATTTGATGTAATATTTATACAATTCATGAACTACTGTGAAAAATCCATGGCAATTCCTACCACTGAAATACATTAGGGTTAAGATGAAAGCTTTAAAAACATGGGGAATATGTTGTTTTAAAAGTCTATATCAAAATGAGGAAAGGTTCGGTACAGCTACATATACATACAGTATTTTTCACCTATCACCTCAATAAATTACACACTGATTTGTTATTATACACATGGTAAACAAGATATCAAACCACAAGTTTCTGGTCTTTTTAATGAAACTGTTTGTATGAAGGAGTGTCGTGAATATGCCCATGAAACAGTCTAGAGTAGTTGTGACAGTAAACATCTGCTCCATTTTATTTGAAATCAGCCTGCTGTTTGGAATGAGAACAATAAACAAGAGAGTGGTTCATCCCTAGTGATGTGCAGGATCACGTGCAGTAAAACCGAAAAGGATGAAGTGCATGCATTTGAGCAAACCCTTAAGAAAAGAGTCTAAATATCCTACAATGAGGCTGAGGCTAAAAGAAATCCGATGACAGTCACACTGAGTGTGTACTACAAACCAGAGGCAGGGCCCTTTTTTGCTTTGCATATGGATCGTTGCATTGTGATGAGTGAAGCGCTGTTGGCAGCTGTTGTTCCACAGGAGACTCCCAAGATTGGCACATTTTCACATTTTGAAAGCGTCTTGTCTGACAAGGCCCCGAGCGTGCCGCATGTGCTGAAGTCCTGTAATAAAAAGGCTGAAGCAGCGGAGAAGGCAGAGGGGAGTGCTACATGCCACGTGTGATATCACAAAACTCCCAAAATATAAATCTGGCCATGGTCCTATAAGATATGAAAGGGACAACACGTTGCACTTCTCTGTTTCATGGAAGAACTCTGAAAAATAATCCAGTACTGTGAAATATCTCATGGCACAGTTTGTCTCTAGGTGGTTTAATGTTCGGTCACAAAGGGTCACGAAAAACTTCTTGTTCTGTTAGGATTTTGACCGAGTTTGGTACCCTCCAAGGGCCAGGACTAACAGATCCTTTTGGGCTCTGGGAGGACCCCTGAATAATGGTTGTGGAGGCAACAAAGTCTTCTTTGGAGTTGGATGATTTACCTTTTCTTTCTTTTCTCTCTGTCGGTGAATCTTTTCTACTCCATATATCTTTAAAAAATGACAATGAATCTCTTTTATTTGTCTCTTTACTTACTTTCTTGTTTTCTGTTGGTTTGCTCTTTCCATTAACATCTTTATGCTCCAAGTCTTTGTTTCCACATGTTTCACTCTCTTTTATGGGCAACGTCCTGTGAGGATGAGACTCTCCCCTTACCCTTCGTTTAAAGCTTTCCTTCTCAAAGCTAGGCCTTTCTCCACTTCCTATTGTGTATCTTCTCATGTCCTGATTTTCTCTTTCACTGTTTTTAAGCTCAGTACCAAGGCTCTCTTTTCTGGAAGAATCCTTTAATCTTCTGTGATGGCCTTGTTGATGCCCTGTACGCTGCAATGTTGAAACCACCTGCAGTCCAGCTTGGCCTTGCTGTTGCCCCGCACGATGCAATGTTGAAACAACTTGCGGTCCAGCTTGGCCTCGTTGATGCCCCGCACGCTGCAATGTTGAAACCACTTGTGGTCCAGCTTGGCCTTGTTGCCCCGCACACTGTGATGTTGAAACCACTTGCGGTCCAGCTTGGTCTTGTTGTTGCCCTGCACGATGCAGTATTGAAACCACTTGCGGTCCAGCTTGGCCTTGCTGTTGCATTGCACAATGCAGTGTTGAAACCACTTGTGGTCCAGCTTGAGCCTTGTCCGATCTTACAGTTGGTATTTTTGTGTTACTCATAGGAGGCATTATGCTCCTGCTCACGGCTACGGCTGCTCCCTGTGCCTGACTTCCTGTCATTTTGAGACTGGTATGTTGCTCTTTGGCTTTAGGAAATGTCTCCCCGGTTTTCTTTGGGCTGCTTAGCTCTCTGGAGTCTTTCGAGGACACCATTCTCTTGTAGAACTTTGTATGATCATAGGAGAGGGGAGAAAGCCTGTCTACCTTCTTTTCTGCCCACTCGTCACTTTCGTCCACTGAACCCAAACCCCTGCTGTGGTGGGGTTCTTGAATTTGCAGGGATTTGGTGCTCCAGCTGCGAGAATGTTTCAGCTTCTTGGAGAAGGTAGGGGAAAGAAAAACGGAAGCTCCGGTGGACTGTGGAGAGGTTTGCGGTGATGTGTCAGAGAAAAACACCTCTTCTGAATTTCTTGTAGGTGCGATGATTTTTTGATCACGTTTATCTGTAAAAGAAGCACACATGTTTAGAAGAATATACCACAAACCACACAAAATACTAACTTTAGAACGTCATTTAATCACCAAGGTTAATAACAGTGAGGAAAATGTGAGTAGGAAAAAAATTACCAAAGTAAAAGAGAAGAGACCAGCAAAAGCGGTGCTGATGTTAGTGTTGGTGCTCAGTGTAATAGCACGCAGTAGAAGCAGCTGTATTACCTGCATCAGAGGCAATAAAAGAGCCACAGGAAGCAGACGGTTATATTGTAACAAATGAATAAAAACCCAGCAAAAAAGTATATTGAAGTTGATAGAGGTGAACCCATAAAACAAGCTATCAATTAACAGTTAGCTAAACATCACAAAAGTTATGGTTTCAGCATGTATCTGAGTGCTGTTTCCTCCTGAAGATTTACAGAACTGTTTCTGTATGAGTCAATTTTATTGACAGCGAGTCAAGAGATGCTAAAGCACCATATCTCAACACAGCACTATATAACACATTGTTCAATCATACATACAGTATACCTTTTCTGATGCCTCAAAACTTCTCCAAAAAGCCACTTTAGTTCTGGTGCTATAATATAATTAAAGTCTAATAGATCAAACAGGGAGGTATAATGTCTCCCAAAAACATACATTTAAATAATTAGAAACAATGGCTGCAACAAAGTGGGATTGATTGATATGCGCAAACAAAAATGAACAACGATGACGACAACACAAAACTGACAAACTGTTTCATACAAATCTGCACAACACAAAGGGTAATAAAGGGTATTAAACGGAAACATTTAAAGCCATTACAGGTGTTTAGTTCCCCTTAAGCAATAAAACAAGATAGAACTTTGATAGACTATTTATAGTCATCGCAAAGTAAGATATCAAACGTAATATGTAT